GTCCTTTTGTTTTGTGAACAGGAATCACCTTTCCAAGGGGTAACACAAAGGCCAGTGTCAAAACTATTAAAAAAGGTCCAAAATGCAAAAACAGGAAGTATAATGAGCACTCCTAAGCATCATAAGAAGGTAACTCAGTTGTACATATTTCATTTTCTGTTCTTCTTCTCTGTACTGTGTTGGGGGTTGGTTTTATACTTTCATGTCATTTGTATTAAGCTACCAATTCAGGCCATACCTAGAGACCTCTTCAGGCTTACCTTGTTGATTGGCAGGTAACTCATCATGAATATGAAGTTGAAACTACTAATGGAAGAACAATTACCAAACGAAGAAAAACCAGAAGTACTGTTATGTTTGAGGTATGAACCTAGTGATCTTGATTCTTGTTCTGATTCCCAGAAAAGAGCCGAAGCCTACACCTACATTTTCATGTAGAATGCTAATGTTCATAGGTGGCATTGGTTGGTCTCTGGTGTTGCAGGTTCGTATTTTCATAGCATTTACCTTCTCTTTGCTGATTTGTTTTCTCTGTGTTCCATCAGGACCCCAGTAAACAGAAAAAGATGAATGCTGCAAAAGCCATTGTCCCTGGAAGCTTTGTCAAGGTAATTAAAAGCTATCCTAGAATTTCTTTATCTTAATTATAATTCAAAATTCTTTTAAGATTTAATCTGACCTACACTACCTGAAACACTTAGTTTGCACCGTTCATTAGAACAAAAATATCAGAGAAAACAAGGTGGAGCATAATGAATGAATAGTGAAGTTTTTCAAAGCTTTTTAACCAATTATATCTTTTAACAATTCAATTGCTTAGGCATCCTAGTGAGTACATATGCATTGGAACTGTTCATCAGTTGCTTACCTTTGCTTCATTAGATGATCTCTTAGGGTATGCCACATATGATATCAGAGGAAGCAAGTTTCAGTTAATATTTCCTTCCCCAACTGATGAGATAAGAATCCTCCTCAAAAATTGTTGAGACCAAAAAATGTTGAGCCCCTAATTTCGATAGTTTGTTATGATGCTTGCTCTTAGACTGATTGACACAAGAGAAGGGAAAAGTGAGTACTATTTAGGAAAAAAAATTTAATTTGTTACCAGTTTTTATTTCTTTCTTTTGACATGGGTTATATAGCAAAGGAAAGGTTCTAAAATACACTTTCTTATATGGTAATGCAGAAGATAGAGGATACCCTTGACTGTGTACTCTAATACACTTTTACTGTATATTAGATCTGAAATGAATGTCTATTGGAAAGTTTATTACCAATATATATCTTATACAGGAATTTAAGGGAGGTCACCGTAATCCTTCTTCAAACATTGGTGATCTGTTTTCAGAAGGGTCGTTAAATCCATACGCAGATGACCCATATGCATTTGACTAGAGGTATTTCTGGTTCTCTACCCTAACCTTTGTCCTTTATAGAAATATTGTCTTTGATCATAGATATCTTGGAAAGTATCTTTCTTTGCTTCTAGTTAGACCATTGGTTTCTCTGATTCTGACACTGTCACCTGTCATCTTTCATAGCTGATATTCTCATCATGTCAGTCATTATTTTTGTAGTAATCTGAGTCTAAGATTTTATTCTTCTTGGATCTGATACTAACAATCTCTCTTCCTTCTTCTTCTTCTTTTTTTTTTTTTTTTTTTTCTCTTCGGGGTAAATAACATAAAATTTTCAAAGTTTAGTATCTCTAACTTACCATCTAGTATGATTTAATCAGTTTCATTATCAAAAAATCACTCTGGGCTTGCAAAATCTTAGCTGCACAGTATTTTATCTGGGTTACAGTAGCCTTATTTTCTTCCACTTCAACAGAGTTTCCTGTGGTTCATGATGTCGCAGGAGGACATATTCTTCTGTCAATGCTTTCAATGCCTCTGAGCTCGTAGGCTTAATGCTAATGCAGTTTGATTGTACAGTAATCTGCTCTGATTGTATTATCATCACAACTCTGTTATAGACCCTGTTGTAAAAAAGGGCTTGGATTTAAGAGGATGACGTACATAAATGATATTCTGTATAGAAAATTGAAATACATAGAACCTCTTGAACACTGATTTGAAGCTGCAAGATGATGATATGCAGTTAATAGGAAAGCATGGTTAGGATATAAAGAACTTGTTATCCATAATATTGTTAGGATGTAAGGACTCGGTATCCAACCTGAAAAACCACTTAACAGTTCATTTGTCTAAAATTTTTCTTTTTCTTAGTTATTTGGCTTTATCTATTTGATATGACTAGCTCATCTGCCTGGATGTATGGATTTGGAGATTTGGAAATTTGGAGAATAGATGATTGTCTTTGATATGGATGAGATCTACCGAAGGAATGATGCCAGTTGCATTGACCTGAAGCCTAAGGCCAAAATGGCACTCGGAGGCTTAACACTCTCTGATCTCTTATGGAGTATATTTCTCATTTTACAAAACTCTAACCTGGTCTAGACAGATAGAACCTTCATGGCTAGCCCCCTGAACTGCGATTAAGCTTAAGCCTTCTAAGGTCTCCATACACCCTACAATAGACTACGTAAGTCGAAGAGACAGCTTCCTTCGACCTATACTGAAAGAGGCTTTCCCTTACCTCTGAAGGTATAAATACCATGAAAATGTACTTGTTCCCGGGGACTAAAGCCACAATGTAGCACTAGCTTTTCTTTTAACTAGCTGAATTCAACATTTTAGAACTAATAAAAAAATGCAGTTGTCTTTCTCAAGCCATAAGTACTATTGCTAGGTCGATGATGTCACTGAAAAACTTGCATAACATCTTTTCCTCAAAAGTTGATCATCATAGCTCAAATGCTCAATGCCGATGTCCTCATATTTCTTTTCAATTCACCATGGGTTGATGATAATTCCTTCTCATTTGAAATTTCTACAAACTTTACTAAAATATAGAAACAAAGGCAGCTTACTCATCTGATTATCTACTCAACACCACCGTGGAGTCCAGTTTAGAATCCTTGAACCGTCCTCCTAGACCTTCTCAAGAAAATTTTCTTGAAAACAATTTGTAAGACCAGTTCTAGAACACAAGGTTGATGGTCGTTATGTGTTTCTGGAAAACATAATTAGTATCCATTAGTTGGGAAAGAAAGACATAGGAGAACAGCTTCCACCTCCATTTTTTAGATTTCTGAACAACATTGTATACCACTGTCCACAGAATCGAATCAACAGAAGCCAGAAGGTAAACACAACGTAATTACCAATACCTAGGCGTGTGGTTATCGTCTTTAAGAAGACTTGAATGCGAGAATCAAAAAGAAACTCGAAATCATCAGAACTACGACCTGAAGGATCAACTCCATCAAGCCGCACAGCTTGATCCTCCTCCTCTTCATTCGCTCCCTCGTCAATTCCAGCCTCAAATATCCGATCTCTCTCCTCATCATCTCCTTTTCCTACATCAAACACGAGAAAGAGAAGACCATGAGGATTCAAGCAAACCTACTTCAAAATCATGTAAATTAGAGAGGACACCCAGCCAGTTACCTCGTCTTCGTCGTTGTTCGTAGATTCGAGGAGGTAATTTGGGGAAGATTTCAGTGAAGAGAGCAGCATTGCAGCCTTGGCACAGCTAATGGCGATCGGCGATTTCAGAGTCTCGTCTTTTGTTTCCATTTCTCTCTATGAATGAGCTTGGATTTTGAATTCGAATTCCGATCTTAATAAACTGAAGGAAGCCTGTGATGCCTACACGGCCCATGCTGGTTAATAAAAATAGAAAATGATAAATAGAACTGATTTTATTTATTTTTGTTTGATAACAGTCATTTTATTTTTTTTTTAAACAGTGTACAATTTGGGGATTGCGGAAGTGAGCTTTCAAGACGGTAGTAGGCTCAAAACCTCGATTACTTCACCCAAATACTTTAAGGTTTGGGTCGAATCATTAAACTTAAAGCGCCGGTTCGATAACAATCATTTTATTGTATTGGTTGCAAAAAAAAAAAAATGATAGTTATATATTTTTCTTTTACCAAACAAAATATCAAAAATAAAAATCTAGAAACAGTAGACATGAGAGACAAAGTATTATGAGTCAATATGTATCCTTTACCATATTAAATTTCCTTCAGTGCTTGATCCAATAGTAGAAGCAGGTGTATACCATTAGGCAAGTAGCACCATTAGGTGGTTTGCTCCATTGGTAAGTTTTTACTTCAAAATTTGGAATTTATTCTATAAAATGCAACTTTTATGTTTATATTGAACTGCCTTTTAGAATTAATCTTTCATGTTCTTACTAGCCCAAATTGTATCAACATAAGCCATGCACATCCCTTGCTAGGTGTAATCAATAAACAATATAAGGTAACAATAAGAGTTTGGTTGAATTTGTATCCATCAAATTAAAATTTTTAATTTAAAATCAATGTTAAAAATTTAAACTTTAGTATTGTAAAACAATTAATTTTTTTTATTATGCAAATATATATATATAAGGTGGAACCAACTTAAATGATTTTATAAGGTAAGTCATGTAAAGCGATTTTATTTGGTAAATTTTGACTTTAAAATTTGGAAACCGTTTAAAAGGTAGCTCCCGTATTGTTATCATTTACCTATTTCACAATTAATTTAGAACCCAACTTATTTAAAAAAAATTTTAAAAAATATTTATTAATCAGACAAGCAAAAATTTTTACCTAATTTTTTGCAAATCCGACAAATAAATATTAATCTTAAAAGAAAAAATTCACATGAAAACAGTTGAAGCCATGCCGAAGCCATGTATCAATTCTCTCAAAGGTTACAAATTAAGTTCACCAAAGTTTCGCGCCAGTATTCACAATATAATGTAGCCGTAGACCGTTGCTACCATAGTAAAATCATTTTTATAAAAAAAAATAAGGAGATTGATTTTTATATTTTTTTTAATCTTATTTTTATATACAATCATATAATTAAAATGATTAATTTTTTTAATTTACCTGAAACTCATAATATTAAATATATATTTTTATTTAATTACATATAAAATTTATATAAAAATATAATACTAAATACATATATTCATTTAATTACATATAAAACTTATATAAAAATATAATATAAAAAACTATCCTCGTAATACCACCCAAAAAATAAATTCAAAAATGAAAACGCGGAAATCGTCCTATTTGCCTTTTTTTTTCTTTTTCTTTTTTTTTCTTTTTTCATCCTCTGCGTTCTCTCTAGTCCCTCCTGAGTCCTGAAGCAGCGCCACGCGAGAACTTCGTGCGCGGGTAAGAAATCCACCCGCAGGCCGCAGCGCCACATTACCCACTAAACGACAAAAATCTGCGCCAACTCACTTATACTACCCCATATATATATATAGAGGCCATGTCCACTAACCTCTTCCCCCTTCTCTTTATACTCCTCCTACTCTGGCACCAGCCCCTCACCTCACCTTCCAAAATCCAAAACCCTTTACCCCTCAATCCCCATTGCTTCGTTTTCGGGATTCTTCTGTTTCTGTTATGCTTGAGAACCGGAAAATGGCTTCCAAAGATTCTAAAGAAAGCAAGAAGGTGGTACTGACGCTGCAACTCAGTCTGCCTTTTGATCCTCCGGTGGCCGGTGTTGAATTCGTCCCTCACTCTGTTGTGAGAACCTCCACCGGCTTGCTACAGAACGTTCCCCCGCATTCCTTCTATTTCAGCTGGTTTGTTTCATCGCCTTCTCGTCTTTTTCATTTTCTTGCTCTGTTATTCTCTGTCTCTGTTTGTTGTTTGTGTGTGTGTTTTCTGGCAAATGTGCGTTTTCTTGATTGTTGGTATGGTTGGTGAGTGTGGAGAAGGTAATGGAGATTTCATCGTTGTGTTAGATAATGTCCATTGGAACTTTTTCTTGAATTCGTCTGAAGTTTTTGTTTGTTCGACGGTATCTGTTTGATTCTTTTGTTCATTCTTTTGGAATTTCTTGGTAATTTTACCCAATTTCAAATAAACAACTTCCTTGTTATATTAGGTTTTCTGTTTTCTTTTATGATATTAATTGCACAATCTATCCATGGATTTCTGGTGTCTAATCTTGGAGGTTTATTATATACCATTGTGGAAGAAAGAGTTGAGTGTATTATAGGACCTTTCTTCAATTCATTGTACTATGAATTCAAGTTCATCTCACAATCATGTTCTGTGCTTTCTTTTTTCAAGTTACAAAGTAATTATCTGCTTTGTTCTCTATTTATAAGTGGTTTATTTGAGACTGGTTGATATCATTTTTGCCGTATTGAAAGGCAAAAAGAATATAAAATGGTTCAATGTGCATCTAGCATCTTCTACATGGAAAGCAACAGAGGATGAGTGATTTGACATATATTCTGAAAATTTTTCAGTTGTGTTATTTACTTTGAAGTCTCATCTTGGAAGGGGATAGATTTTTGGTTGGTTGATAGCCATTTTGTTCTACGTTTGCCTGCTCATTAGATACGCATCACATGGCATTAATTGTTGGAAGTTCCTCTTATGTTTTATACCGTTAATGTCAAACATGTAGGTACCGCAAAGAGCCTTTTACTTGTTCTGTCCACCCTTCTGAGTCAGCCACTGTGCAATGTCGTAGTTGTGTAAAATTGAATATACCTGTGGAGGACAGTTATCATTGTAGTCCACAGTGCTTCCAACATGCATGGAAAAGGCATGCAATGTCTCATCATAATGCAAATGAAACTGTAAGTGAGACTACAATTGTTGTTCAACATGAATCAGGAGAGCCTAGTAGTTCTGCATGGGCTGACTTTGATCATGGCAAATCATTTGATGAGAATCTAGACCTAGAAGGGGTAGGATGGGTTAAAGTGGGATTTTCAAAAATATATGAGACTACAAATGATGATATTGACTTCCCTCTGAAGCTGGAGTGTACGGCTGTAGATCATGCTAAGGGTACTTCTCTGGTTCAAACTATAGTGACCAATCCTGTTATTAGTTTCCCTCATCATTCCCCACGGCAGATGATTGCAATTGGAGGTGATGAGAAACATGGCAACATTGATCTCAAATCCCAGTCTTCTAATGGTTTGACATTTCGAGTGCTATCCTACAATATACTTGCCGACATATATGCTCCGAACAACCTAGGTCACTGTCTGGCATGGGCTCTTGCCTGGCAATACCGCAGGAAAAATTTGTTGAATGAGATCATTGAATATAATGCAGATATTATTTGTCTTCAGGAGGTAAATTTATTTTCTGCATATTTTCATAGCATATGTTAATTTAACATGCAGCCCACTTTCATCATATGTCATCCTGCCTCTATAACTTATGCAACATTCTTCAATGGTTGGGCAGGTACAAAATGACCATTTTGAAAACTTCTTTGAACCTGAACTAACAAAACGTGGTTATTCAGTTTTGTTCAAGAAAAAAACAAGTAATGGGGTTTGTTCTAATAACTCTGATTCAATACAATGAATGTTATCTGTCAAAATGCAATTTGAGCAAGGTGTTTCTTGCTTCTTGTGTTTATAAAGTTCTGAAACTTTCTTGTTCCTTTTCCATCTTTCTTCCACTCATTCTGAACAGTTCTCTTCTTCTTCGTTTTCCCTTCATACCCAAGTTGCTGTCTGTTTCATTGAAAAGCTTTTGTCAATATCCTGATCCAGGTTTTCTCCCCTATATTATTTTGCACTCTTTTTATACACAAAACTTAATTTGGTTGTTTGCATTGGAAGTAAACATGGGCACTATTCTAGTGTATGATGTCACCACCATCAGATCATATGTGACATTTCTGTTTGATCCCTTTCATCATTGGGTTTATACTGCAGAGTGAGACTCGACATCTCATCCAACTAAAGCAAGAAAATTTTATTATCAAATGCGTTGCAGGTATTTTCAGGTCTCTACTTTGTAAATGATGGATGTGCAACTTTTTACCGTCGTGATCTTTTCAGAGAAATCATGAAATCTGAGGTGAAAAATCTCCAAATTATATGAATTACTTTTTCATGTTATGTTGTTGATGATTCTAACTTGATGCTTTTAGCTTGAGTTTGAGGGGAAAGGAAAGATGGTAGTTGAGGAATTATTGGGGCCTGACCTTAAGGATGCTGATCACATTCGCTTAATAAAGGTAGTAATATCTTCCATGAATTCATAGTCATTGCTCTATACTATAGTCTAATTATTCTTGTTTCTGCTGATAAAATATATAAATATATAAATTTATATTCTTGTTTCTCCTACAACCATTTGTTATGTCAGGTTTTCTTTCATTTTCCTTAGATTTGGATCTTGGTTTTGCAGGATAATGTTGCACTTATTGTCATATTACAAGCCTTGAAAAATGGCAGTGCTGATAATGACCTTCCATCTAGAATTTGTGTGGTAAAGTACATATCTGTTGTTTTGGACCTTTATGCCTTTAAATTGCCTTTAAGCAGCCTTTAAACACAGGAAAGTGGCACTATCATTTTCTCAACCTGCAGGCAAATACCCACATTTGTGCGAATCCTGACCTCCCTGATGTAAAAGTATTCCAGGTGTGTTATTAATTTTAGAGTCCTTATTTCATTTATGATCTAGAAGAAAAAGGGTTTTGACAATATCTTCACTCCTACCAAGGTTGCGACCCTTATCCATGAACTTGAGGAAATTGTCGAATCAAAGATTCCTCTATTGATTTGTGCTGATCTGAACTCTTGTCCGGGAAGGTTAATCTTCTGCTCTTATTGACATGGTAGTTTACATTGAAAGAAATGCTTAGTGGCTTATAAGTGCCAGCTTGTGGTTGTTTTTCTTGTGTAAATTGTTAATGATTAAAGTTTATGTATTGCTAGTATGAAATAAATCGACCTGCAACTTTCTTACTACTGAGATTGTCTCAAAATACCATAACTTAAATGTCCTTTTTTATTTTCATTTTTGCTGTCCTTTAAATATTCTTTCTTTCTTTTTATTTTGCATCTTACAAACAGGGTACTGCTCACACCAATCAAAGAAATAAAATGGTGTTTATGCCTTTCCAAGCTTTATGGAAAAGTGTTTATATGTGCATCCAGTATGGTTGTCATATTTTGAATTCTTTTACTTGCACCATATTTCCTCAGTAACATTTATTTCTGTATTGAACATCACAGCAATCCTCATACATTGCTGACAAAAGGTAGACTCAAACGTATTGAAGGAGATAATCCACTGAAGATTGATCGCTTCATCAAGCTTGTCTATCAAATGCAACTGGTAAGGCTATTATCTAGCACAAACCTTACCCTTGGTTCATTTTTCTAACAAAATTTAATGCAATATCCTTGCATGTATCTCATTTGAATGGATGTTCCATTTTTATAGCATGTTTCATAAAACACCAAATAAGTTTCAAGACATGCTGCTTTACAATTGCCTTTGATGAAAATTACTAATCAACATCTCTGCTAGCTGCTTCTTTTTTCCATTTTAGAAAGGGGAAGTGATATTTACTTAGTGTGCATATTTTACTTGTGATGCTTATTGCATGACCTTGCAATGCTGTCAAATTGGATATTGAACCAGTAATGATCAAATAGTTTGGCTGGTAGCTAGTTGAACAGAGAACTGAAAATTATTTTGTTTTAGTGATATGTTTTTGAATCCTAATCCGCCAGATTGAACAGTTCTTTCTCTGATCAATTGATCAAGAATTAAAATCATATGTAAATTAATCAAAACTAAATTTCAGTACAAACTTTGCAATGAGATTTGCAAGGAAGTTCAATGCCTGGCAGACAAGGGAGTGCAAAATATAAAAATCATATCTTGATGAATCCTAAGTTACTATCCGCTTTGTGCAATCATCATCACAATGATCATGCAGGAGTTTTTCTTTTCAGGAAAGTGCATACGCATCTTTTCTCCGTTCAAGGGGGATCGATCAAGAGCACTCAAGTAAGATGGATCCCAACAACTTTGAGCCTCTGTTTACCAATCTCACTCCAACTTTTTCTGGAACGCTGGATTATATTCTCTACACAGGTATACTTTGACCGCATATCTTTAGTTGAGTCTGTGTCTTGGATATCTCTTTTCTCAAAATATTTTATTCCCAGCATGATCTGATACGTTGTAGCCATAAGAAGACTATTCCTTATTAAACTTTACTGGTTTATTGGTCTAAACCTGTTTTCTTTTTCTAACCGTGTTCAAGTCTCTACCCACAGCTGACAGCTTCAAAGTTGAAGGCTTATTGGAACTTCCAGGCAAGGAAATTCTAGGCGAGGGCTATCTCCCATCTCCTTACTTGTCATCAGATCATGTTGCTCTCATGGCACAATTTAGACTCTTGTCACCAAATGCCTCCTCAAAGCATCAACCACCAAGTCTAAAGAAGTGATTTCTGATACCGCATTTGTTTGTATAGAAACCATATACAGGGATTTAGAATGCACAGTTTTAGATTCGACATCACAGATCACAGTATTGTACAATGATTCTTTGACAGTTTTGTCAATTCCGCTTCCTTCTCAGTCAATTTTTTGCAGTCTTACAGCCTATGACAAGTGTGGCTGGAATTCATCTTCTCATATAGTTATATATCCGCAATAAGTTGTACAGACTACAGCCTTCTTGTGGCTATTTTGTCTCAAGATGATTCTCTGTTGCAGTATTCTACCTTTTTCAAGCTTTACAGTTTAGTATGTGCTCTTTTTTCCTTTTTCTTTGCATAACTTTAAAAGCCTTCCCTTGAAATTTTATTGGCAACATGGTTTGGGGTTTGGTCCAAATTAAATCAGAACATAACGATACAATTCACAATTAATGCAACTGCTGGGAGGAAAAACTTTCTTTAGAATAAAATAAAATGGTTAAATTCATTTGCTTTGACTGAAATTATTTACTGAAGTACTAATAATACAAATAATTTAGTGCAATTCTTCAACCCATTATTGATTTCTGTCTGTGACAAGGTGTTCAGGAACTATCATCAAAATTCAAGTTCAACTCTCATCCGAATGCATTAGCTGCTTTGGATAGAAGCACCCCATCCTGACCAAGATGAAGGTTGAACACTTGGCATGATTTTTCTTCCCTAGTCTAGTTATGCAATTTTTTTTTTAAAAAAAAAGTCAATATAATGATGATGAACATCAAAATTAAAATCAATTGAAAATAAATAGAATAATACATCTCATATTTAAATTACTCACGTTTTTTCTATAGCTTTGATGATGAATTTCTCCATTTAATAGTTTTAAATTATAATAATGTTAAACTGAATTGTGTAAATGATAAATAAAAATATTAAAAACTTAAGAAGTTTTAAATTCAATTATCTTGTTACCTCAACCCATTAAATGTATAAAAGACTGTTTCAACAGATTTAGCTAATTCAATGCATGCTTGTAGTTGTAGATACCCTAGAATCTTAATCAAAGATATCATAAGTCTATAATACAATCCCAACTTATTGTAGAAGAGACTTTGTTTTAACATACTGTTCATTTTATTTCTAATGTATTGGTTATTAGGTAATATACAAACTAGAAGTCCATTTAAGTCGTTTGATACAAAGTTTTGAGGTTAGTGAATTGGACTATTTAGTGAATAAAAATAAATAAGAAAATTATGAAATTTAGTTGAGGCATTCGTGTCTTCATTCTCTTACCCAAACACAAGCAAAATTAGGAACGATGTAAAACACTATTTTATCTACGCTATATATAAAAGTTAGTACATTACATGATGTAAGTTAGTTTCTCCCCATAACTTCCCCTGCTCAGCATTCATTTCTCAATGGAGATTGGAGATGGAGGATCCATTAATACCATCTTACGTACCTCAATACAAGAAAACCCATTAATTAGAGCTTTAATTAACATGCTTAAGACTCCACCTTGATATTTCTTAATTTCATTATATGATCAGCACATGAGGCTGAGCCTAGCCTTGAACGATTTGGGTTCGTAGCCTTCCTCCGGCCGGTGCATGAATTTGCAGTTGGGGCATTCTGGGGATGACTTGCACAGTATGACCAGCATGTGGCACCGCATGCACACCGTCGCAACCATCTGCTGCTGATCCTCTTCCTCCTCCTCCTCCTCCTCCACTGTCAGCCGTGGCAGAGTACCCTGCGTCTTATCAGTCATGAATTCCTCTCTCACGTTGTTGCTTTTCCTCAACGAATCACACGAAAGATTCAAGTCAAGGTCTAAGCTCACACCATGATGATCGCTGGCACTCGGTGGCTCAGGGCTTCTCGTAGGATCCCTGGACGTTGTCTTTTGCGTTCTTGTATTATAGAAGTGTATCTGTCCTGACTGCAAAATAGAGAATCATAAAAAACACCTCACTTAATTAATAGAAGTGGGATTTTTCCTCATAACAATTTTTTTTTTTGTTTTGTTTACCTGCATATCAAGACATCTCTGCCATTCAGTGGGCAATGGAGTCTCAAGATGAAGCTCGATACCAAATAACGATTTTGATCGCTTCTCCTCGGGAGTTTCTTTAGGACTACTGTGGGGTTCCTCGGGCCGCTTTCTCTTGTTCGATGAATTCTCAACTTCTGAGATTGTCTCTCTGGGGTTGGAAGGGATGGGTGCTTGAAAGGAAACCATAGCTTGAATACAAGGAAGCCTCCGCTGTTTTTCTCTGTTTTAAGAGTGATCAAAAGGTGAAGCGTTTGGGGGTGATCATATAGGAGGGGAGGAGAGCTATGTGGGAAGGCAGATAAGTGCAATGAAGAATCCAATAGGGGGAGGGGGGAATTATAAGTTTGAAGGTAGAAACCAGAAGGGCCTACCTATGCATGACGTTCATTCCAAGTTGGCTCTCTTCAATTACTACACTATAAACCTTCAAGCTGCTATTCAAAGCTTAGATGTGAAAGCTTAACCAATTTTTCTTTATCTTCATTTTCCGTGTCAAGTTTATGCGTGCAAAACTTGACCCAATCTTGTTAATGACTTGAAAAATTCAAATCATTATGCACCACGGGACGGATCTAAGAACCAATATGTAAATAACCATATCACAGGGTTAAGATTGAAATTATATACATATACATATATATATATATACATGAAAAGTTCATATCAGTCTCGACTCTAAAAAATAATTGAAATCTTAATATTAAATTGTATAGTTTTATTTAATTAAAAGTCAATTTAAAATTGAAAAAATTATCTTATTAAATATTAATATATTAAAATATATAATGAGTTTTTAAATTTAAATATTAATTTTTTATAGAATAAGATTTCAATTTTTAGATATAAACCTTAACTTTGATCCTAAATCAAGATTTCATAGATATTATATATATTTTGATTAGCAAGATTCTATAGTTAATAGATATTGCTATGACTAAGTTATTATTGGTGATTAAGATTGTATTTGAGATTACTATGAATGTTGTGGTTGTGACATTTTTAACATTCTACTATGAAAAAATTATGTTATTGATTGATAATTATTTTGAAAAAAATCTTATATATTAATATGACTATGAAATTATATAAAATATCAATTAAAATGAATCTAATTATAATGCACTAACACTTTTATGAAATACTACATGAAAAAGTATTGTAAGAAAGCAACCCCAATTCCCAAACGTAACCCCAAATGCAAAATAAGATTATGATATTAAGTTAAAAACTATTTAGTCCAATAGTTTAAGGTGCTAAAGACTAGAGCTTAAATAGTAATAATCTTAACATTACTAAAGCTCATGATCAAATTAATCATAATATATAGACTAACATTTTGAGCATGAAACTCTCAGATTATATAAATCTCAAGTTCAAAATGTGAGATCAATTGAAACAAATCTAAAAAAATGAAATGACTATTTTTTATGATATAATTTGTGACAAGAATAGCAAAGAAACTCGCAATCAATGAAATTAAAAACACGAGGGAGTGCTATAAATAGTAGGAGATGAGCCAAGCCAGAGAGCTAGAGAGAAGCCAGAAGCCATAAAACAAAGTGCTTTTTGTATACTTATGATAGGCGGTGAGAGGGGAGGTGTGGAATGGAAGGGCCCATTAAATGCAGAGAGTCTGTAAACAGTTGAAGGGGGAAGAAGGTCTTGAATGCCAATAGATACAATAACTCCAACTTCCAAAATTGGGTCACTCAAAAAACTAAAAGCTTTAAAGCTCTCAACACCCCCTTTCCTATTCAAACAAGTCCACATCCCATCACCCTAATATATTTCTCAATTAACCAAGGAAAAACCATTGCTTTTACAGCTCTCAATATCCTTTCCTCATCGAGAAACTTCACAGTAAAAAGGCGATCTATATCCCAAACCAATAAAACTTTTAAAGCTGCTCAATTTTATTGGTCAATTTGTGAACTTCCAATTTTTAATTGGTTTGGGAATATAACATAGTTATAATTCATTAATTTTTGTTTTTCATTTTTATTAGTATTTGTTTTAAAAATGATATACTTATCATGCAACATATAATTATAAGTTTAAAATAATTATTATGATAATAATAAACAAATAAATACATATAATATCACGTATAATTTTTAAATAAAAAAATTAATCATATAATGACATAATGATTGTGAGATTATAACACCACACATATTTATTTTCCTAAAGATAAAAATATCCTCTTTCACCTCTAAACCTAACTCTTTCTTGCTTCCTAGCTCCTCCATCATAGTCACCGCCTCTTTTCCTTCAACAATTAAGGTAGATGAATAAAAGTGGGGTTTTTCCCTCTCCTTTGAGGGTTTCTTTCTTATTGAAGGTTTGCCACCCTCTTTAAAGAGTTTCGCCTCAACTCGATTATTTTTTGTGGGTTTTGCCTTTATTAAAGATGAAATGCAGTGTGGATGTGGGTTACTAGACTCGATGGATGCAGTACTTGTTTTGATTGTCGATAACATAATTAAAATATAAAGTCTCTAACTAATTTTTCTATTCTAAAAACTGTAGTATTATATGTTTCAAAAATGATAAACATTATCATTTTTCAAAAGAACCATAACTTTCAACTTCATTATTTAACTAAATTAAATTGCCATTTCCTCCTTACACATACCAAGTCTTTAGTAAAATTTATCGAGCTTCTTGGACCAACAATGCGAAAAACATCTTCATTACCCCTCGTATATATATTGAGAAGAGAATTAGAAAGGTTTATCTTGATATATATACCGACATAACATTAATTAGTCCATATTCAATTCTTCACGCATGCGTTATGAAATCATCACCATATTTATATATGTTCTCAATCGAAAGAAATTACAAAGAGCAATAAAATTCAATTATTTTATCTTTGAGTATGGGGCGAGGTAAGTTTCTTTTTTCTTTTTCTTTTTCTTTTCTTTTGTTGAAATCTTGCGGCCAGGGTAAGTTTCTTAATTTGTATGAGAAAATATCTAACTTGTGCATGGAGCGTTGCTTCTTAAAGGGTGGTTTCCTTGGCCGAATTTCACCAATCATATATAAATTGATGAGGGACCCTTAATAGACTAGATAGCAGATGCCATAAATATATTGACCCATTTCATTACTACTTAGTGAAGAATGTTAGACTACATTTAACCTTCTTTTTCTTTCCAAACAAAGGGTATTGTTGTAAGCCCATTAAGCATCCCAAATCCAAATTATAAATTTGTAGAAAATTACGATGAAAAAACAAAAATAAAAACCCTCAACAAAATCATTCATTATATATATATACTGCTTCTATCTCACAATATCTATATTCTTTTTACTAAATTTTTGTCCCAAATTGACTTTTTGTTTTATTAATTCTTATGCATGGTAAAAAAGACAATATTGTGGCCGAGAGGGAGTACCATTGTGGAACCAAAGGGACAGAATCCCAAAATCGCTCCAAATAACCGATTCATTCTTGATAAAAAAGAAGAAGATAAATTATTTTTTTAGATTATGCTGGAGACAAATAACTCATTATTTGAACTTGGCCGGTTTTTTGGGTCAGGTAACTCTAGTCACGTTTGTAAGGTTCATATCCCCCTCTTCAAGGCAACGGTTCGAGCCGGTCTCATGACAAAAATGTTCAAAAAATAAAAAATAAAAAAATTAACTCATTATTTAATAATTAATATAATCAAATATCAAAAATTCATTTGCTACTTAAGTCTGTCTCTTTAATTAGAGATTTATGTTTGCTGGCATCAATTATTAAATAATTAGTTATTTATTTTAATAAATTTTTTTAAAATTTTTTTTTTTTTTGAAAAAGATAAATTTGTCCCTGCCCTATTTGGGGGACAGATTTGTGGATTTGGCGGACCAAGGGAGTATACAACATGGTGTACGGACTCTAGATCTAATTTTCGTCCAAAGTAATCGTATGTATGAGTACTTGATAATTATATATTCATACACATCAAACAAATTTCAAACCAACTGGTTGAAATTGTTTACTCCAAATGAAATTTGGTTGTGAATGCACAGGTGAAAATTAAATGTGTAATTATTATATTTTTTTATATCAATCCATAATGTTATATAAATTATTTTAATTAAATAGTTAATTAAATAAAAATTAATTTTTATTTTTTAATATCAATAAAGAATTATAAAGAATTAAAATGTCTTAATAATTAAAATGTCAAGACTTTCAATAAAATTATTTAAATATTTTAAATAAATTAAAATAAAAAGATCCATTAAAAATATTTAAATAATTTCATATAAAATATTGATATTTTAAATGTCAAGACATTTGATTCTCACTTTTTTCTATCAATTAACGTAGAAAGATATAATAATTATATTTTTAATATATATTTTTAAAGTACAAATAAAAAAATCTTAAAACAAATATTCATATATTGAATTGAAAAAAGAAAAAGAAAAAAACACCCGGAAAGGGGACCAAATTAAAGCCATTAAACGCATTGAGAAAGCAAGAGGACGAGTTAAAGTAACCCTACCTGCCTTCATTAAATCCATCTTGAATTCACTTAAATGCAGAATTCAAGGATGACCATCGAAGCACCTTGCTTTCTTCGTCACTCTCACCACTGGTTTCCTTCTTTTTAATGCTCTCAACCCACCTTTCCTCCCTTCATTTACTCTGTTTTTTTTTTTTTTTGAACAAGGTAATGGTTAGAAAGTTAGTATGAATTAAATGTTAGTGATTAAGATTCTTAAAATAGTAAATATTTTACTCCCTCAAATGAGATGCGTGGCCATTAAATCATAAATTAATAAAGTTCACGGTAATAACAGAACTTAAAGTTCTAACCTTCGCCTCAACCAAACCCTAAGGTTTGGGACGAACCATTGGGCTGGGCCTCGCCTTCATTTACTCTGTTTCATTTTCTCTTTCAATGTAATAATCACTTCCAAAAATAAGAACCACAGTCAGAATATAAATCGTCACTGATAATTTAATTCCATTAATTTGATCAATTTTCTCCAAGCTGAAACACTACTCGATTCAATTCAAATATGTCTTTTAGTAACATTGGAATTGATTTCATTATGGATTGGAGTTGGCGGTTGGGTTTGGTCTTATCTGCGACTTTGATCACCAGCTCAACCGCAATTTATTGAGGTTTTGTGTATGTGATATTCTTTATGGGTT